TTCTGTTTACATTTTCAATTTGTCAGCTTCCGCTGGGGCTGAGATTAGAATAATTGGGGTGTATTGTTTAATTATAATAGATAGAAGGACAGTATATGCTATCTAACCTAAATATACTCAATCTTTTATTTTTAAGTGAAAAACAAAGTAATCAAATCAAGTTTTTATTTTAACTTTAGACCATAAAACCTTCTGTTCTTTCATCTTTTAGTGAAAATTTCAAAAGAAACTTTAGATTTTAGAATGTGTGTGTGTGTACATACACACATACGTATATGTTTTTCTTAGCTAGATAGTGGGAGCTCTGATATTTGCTTGGGTAAGAAAGAATATATATATTATATACACACACACATACATGTATGTATTCTTACCTAAGCAAATATCAGAACTCATGCTATCTAAGAAAATTTGGGAGCTTTACAAATTATTAATACTCACACATGCATTCCCATCTCTGATAAAAAGAGGCAAACACACTGCTCTGAACAATTAAAATAATATAAATTTCATGACAATATTTTCACCTAAATAACACACTGCATTTACTATGCATGCATATCTTTTCCAAACACTGAATTCAAATCCCTGCACTGCACAATAGCCATTGCCTTTGAAGTCTATCAGCATGGAGTTTGAGAAGAGGCTGTGAATCAGGCAGAACATTCCTATAACACTCTGAGCTCCTCAAATGAAAGGGGCTATTTCAGTATAAAGCATCATAATGCAATCAACCTATTTAACAGCCCTACTCACTTCAATGCTGATGCCTCACTCAACCTCTTATATCTAGTATACTTTTAGGCATATTTCTTAATTTAAATTTAAATTTCATTTAAACTTCATTTCATAAAACTAATATGAAGAAATATCATCATTCAAAGAGGAAGATTCCATAAACATCATACTTTATGTCTGTACATGGAAGAAAATCTCTCTATCATGAAATAAACTACTAAAGAGATTGGAAGGATTACCTTCCCCAAGAGTCCAGCAACCTGAACTGGGGGCATAGCAGATACTGTTAATTATTTTTGTCCTTAGTTTATACTTAAAAATGGGGAAAAAAAAAAAAGAAAAAAAAATTGAGGCAACACAGTCACATGGAAGAGTTGGTCTCTGCTTAAAAGGCATTCTTAGTTTGAGTACAAAATTTTGTGTAATATTGGGAAATGACAGCCCCTCCTTCTAAGAATTCATTTAAAAATTACCAGCTATAGTATTTTCTCTTTTTGTGTTTTTTTAATCTTAAATTATTTTTCATTTTACAAGTAATAACAAAAATACAGTATCCATTATAAAAACTAAAGCATTACAGATAACACTGAGTCAATTTTCACTATATCTCCAGCGTGGCCTCTTCAAATCTTCCACATCTCTCACTCTTCCCCCAATAGAGTAGCTATTGTTATGAGTTTGGTTTATACCATTCCAGTATCATCAAAATGCTTTTACTGCAAAATTGTTTTCTAATCATTTGTTTTTCTATAATAAATTTGCTTTAGTTTTTTGAGAAAAACAAGTCTGTCTTATTAAGATGAAAAAAAGAATACACTTTTGTTACAATGAGCACTTTATGTTCTCTTGTTGAACTGTCTATGGACGATCAAGTTTCGCATCAGGTAACTTTGGACATTTTCAGTGATTCTGAACGTGTCTCTCTTCTCTAAAGTGGGAGAGTATGTTGAGCAGGAAACCCCATGACAGCTGTGTCTATTCAGGAGAAGATACTCTCTTCATAGATATGGGGCAGCACCTCCCCGCCGCCCCCCACTCCCCACAGGCGTTTCTATCCCTGCACCCTTCTTTAAAAGCCTCACACTGCCCCTTGTTCTTACGGACCCTAGAATCTGAACCAGTTGGTTTCTCCCTGGCTCTTCCTCCATCTCACAATCCTTGTTTTTCATGCAAGACTATAATCTTAGGTGATTCATCACTGCACCATAGTCCTGGGTAATAGCACGGTATCCAAAAATAAACACGATCAGTCAACTAAAAACTGAGGAATCTTCAGAATATGCCAGGAGACCTGGAAGAACCTCCTGAAATGTGTTTCCATGATATCTTCTCTGATTCTGCTCTTCCCCATATCCACACATTACCTCCAGTTGGCTATTTCCCATAAACCACCCATTCCAAAGCACAGTTACAAGTGACTACAGGAGCCTGTGATTAAAAGGCTTTTTTTTTTCTTTTCTAAGTTGAGTAGAAAGGAAAGGTAAAAGGGAGTTCGGTATTAAGAAATTTAATTTTGGAGATAAGAGCTAACACAAATTAGTTTGCCAGTCAGGCAAGACGGCCTTAGACAAGGAAGGTGGACTGCAGACGGGGGTGGACTTGAGTCATCACCCTTCGGGACCTAGGGTATCACGGGAAAAACTACCCATGCTGGGAAGATGAACCACCAAGTACCCCATCTTGATGACATTAAACATGGAAGTTACATTACTTTTCAACAGTTGGATTCCACATTCACTACACAATCCACTGATTATCATCTGGCTACCCACGTACCTTTGTTTTGCAAACAAAGTGGGACCGTGCGATTCCAAGAATGCTCATTGAAATGAGACTTAGAAAGGTCAAGGTTGTGTCCACAATTTACAGCAAGCAAGATAGGAAGCCAGGTCTGATTCCAAAGCCAGTGCTCTTAACAGTTCCTAACTGCCATGCTGGAGTCTATCTGTGGGGAACTGGTGGGTGGAACTTCATCTCCAGGATGTGGACCACTGGTGTCTATTTCACAGTACACTGTATCTCACAACTTTAAGTTGATCTAAGGAACTCTTCCCCCTCAATTGCCCACAATTACCACGTTACTAAACAAAAAATAAGCCACAATTACAATTAAAGCAAGCCTGAGTCCTGATTCCCTAAACACTGTCTAAATTATCCCTAATCCTCACACCTTTCTCATTCCATTAACTAACAGACTGCCTCAATACTGTCTCTCTATGAAATGAGCTGTGGAGTGTTATACCACTCAAGTTATGATCTTGGACCATATAGTGTCAACATCTGTAGTCAGGGAACTTTTTCAAGTCTCCTTTGTATGGTCTTACTTTTCCCTCATATGCCAACTGCAGATCTTCCAGTACCCTTCAATCTCCATTATATTAAAAAAAAACAGAAGCCTTAGCCCATCCCTAGCTCATCCCTCAATTTATGGTATCATCTCGTCATGTTCCCTTCAAATTCAGTTGTTTCCAACAATAAAATGTTTCCCTTCTATAAAGTATAGTGGTTTTTCCCTGGGTGGTGCAAAGAGTTAAGCGCTCAACTACTAGCCAAAAGGTTGGCCATTTGAACACACCCAGAGGCACCTTGGAAGACAGGCCTGGTGATCTGCTTCCCAAAGGCCACAGCCTTGAAAACCCTACGGGCAGTTCTACTCTGCATACATTTGATCACCATGAGTTGGAATTGAATGGACAGCAACCAACAACAACAATAAAGAAACGGAGAGTGAAGAAAAATACTCAAGAAGAAAAATGGCTTTTTATAACCTAGGAAAGCAGACTAAGTGTGATCGTTTACGTTTTCTCAAGCCAAGACCGGAACGTGGATAGCCCTGCTTATGCTGATGAAGTGTGTTAGTTCATCCTGCACTCCTTACAGAGTCAAGATTTTAAATCCTAGATAGTATTCAGACCACCACTAAACACAAGGTGGGAAATTAATTTATAAAAACCTAAATCAAGATATTGCCACTACCTTTAGGTCCTGAGTGTACTCAAAATTGCCAGTTAAGAATAAAACATATATTTCCATTTACAACTGGAGCACTAATAATCTGACAGGTAAATTCATCTATATATTCACATCTTTTGGGAATACATTAAATTCGTTTCATTATCACCTGTCAAATCCATGATTTCTGTGAGTAATCCAATATTAGCAAAACATAATTAAAGTTACAATTTCTTAGCGACATTGCCAGAATTTTCTTAATGCTTAAGGTTAATACACATAATATAGTTAATATTTGATTCATGTAACATTACCACAATGTCATAATAAAAGCCATCATTAATCTTCTGTTATTTTTAAAATTTTGGTTTTTTATCAGAGCATCATATCCCTACTCTGATGTTGCCTCTGTAACAAGAAAGAACTTCAAAAATTTTACACATATCCCAAATTCTCCTATTGCTTGATATAACCTAAGTGAAGCAATATATGCAAAATGAAAAGTAAATATATATAAATAATGTACTTTATGTAATTTGAGTCATTTTTCCACTTAAAAAATGACTTTCCTTCATCAAATCTCAAATTGATGCAGCATGGTGCTCTTACAATTTAAAAATGTTGGTAACCTATTTTTACTGTAATGAATGATAACTCATCATAAAATGAGCCAGTCAACATCACAGGCCGCTTTTTCATATTAGCAGGTTAAAAAGGAAAATTGAGGTGGAAATGCATAATTTTATAATCATCAATGTCTGCCAGGCCTTGCAAATGAATAAGGGGCTGTGATGGGTCTCAGTTTTCCTTTCATCAAAACCCTTAAGAGTTTGCATTTCTCAAAAGAGAATGCTTTTACTGTGATCCATTTGCTTCAAAAATTATTATAATTTTCAGAACAAATGAACTTTTCATTCAAGCTCTCCAAAGAACATTTCGATGGACACATTTTACAATACTACAATTGCCTTTCAAGTTTATTGGGATTCTATGTATAATTAGCTTCTTTATTACAGTCTGTCTCTCAAATTACACATTACAGAATAATAAATGTCCATGTACTGAATTGCATTGGTGATGACCATGTAGACTCCTTAGTCACTACACTTTGTCTTGAATGTAGCAAAGTTTTAAAGAGATACTTTTTATTTTTCCCTCTCAGAATTTATGAAAAGACTATGTTTGGTTTTAAATAGAAATGGAAAATTCTTTAAAAAAATTTTGATAATGTCTTATAAAAGCTTTTGTATTATGAAGATAGAAGACCCAGGAAGGAAAAAGACATCAGTAAAAAACAAGCCCCTACTTACCAGGTGTGAAGTTGTATCGAGCTGAAAATCCCATCGATTCTAGCTCTCCATCAGCAAAAAATTTAATCCATAGAAATCTTCCACTGGATTTTATCACAGGTGGGTTCTGCTGTCCACAGAAACGTCCAATTATTGGAGAAAAGCCAAAAGGTCCATCTCGAACTTCAATATGATCAAATTTACACTCCCAGGAAGGTTCAATAGAGTACTTTTCATCAAAGTAAAGTTCAATGCACTGTCTTGGGGCAGCTGAAAAAAAAAAAAAAGAGTATGTTCAGAAGGTCACTTTTTAAATCTTTAGTTTGATTTTTCTGGTGCTATTTCTGATAGTATCTGTATACTTTCTATCAAACTTTGAGCACGATATGCTTGGAAATGTAAAGCAAGCAAGCAATAGTTCACATTCTCAGATCTCCTATTTCCATAAGAATGTCTAAAGGGTCCCTACAACTGGTGATGTTGCACAAACTGTTATTCTGATAGTAAGTACACCGTTTCTATGTCTGATAAATTATTAACTTATCACAGTTTTCTTGTGAAAGCCTGCCCAGTCAGGCTTAGAAAGCCCAGGGGCATCTTTCTGTCACCTTCCCCATATTTTCTGCAGAACCCAAGTGTAAGGTCAGAAACCACTTGAGAATCATTCAACATAGAGTTCTACAGCCATTCAGATAGCCTCAAAGGGATATTTTGATTAGATCAAAGTGCACAGACAAGTATATCAAGAGGAATTTTTCAAACATACAAATCTGATCACATCACTTTCAGGTTTAAACTTCTTCATTGGCTCTCTCTGAGCTACAGGATAATGATCCAAACATTTAACTTGACATATGACTTGACACAACCCACACTTCTGGTGTCTTCATATGCCCTCCTCATGTACAGCACAAGTTCAGACACTTCAAACAGGTCATGCTCTTCTAAAATACCATGCCCTTTCCAGCTTTCCTACTTTCCTACTTTCGTGAATATCTACATACTTCCAATTTGTTAACTCCTACTTACCAGGGAAAATATTGCTTAAATAAAACTTTCTGTCTAAATCTACTCATGTAAGACAGGGACCATATCTTATTCATCTTCTTTCCTCAGCACTTAGCCCAGTATCTGCCCTGGAGAATTTCTCAGAAATTCTTTGTTGAATGAATTGTAAATGAGCTTATCTTCACAAATGTTTTTATAGCTCTGCAAGGAATCACAGAAGAGCTCAACAGTGCTAACCAAAACACCAAATCTGTTATCATCGAGTTGATTCCGACACACAGCAACCCTATAGGACAGAGTATAACTGTCCCATAGGGTTTCCAAGGAGCAGCTGCTGGATTTGAACTGCCGACCTTTTGGTTAGCGGCCAAATTCTTAACCACTGTGCCGCCGCCACCACATGGGTGCATTGGCTAACACTCTCCCATTCTTCCCCTGACACGGCCAAAACAGTTTAAAATTCTGGCATTCCAGCTCAAGTTCAGCCAGGACACCACCAGAATAGCCATGTTGTTGTTGTTAGATGCCATCGAGTCAATTTTCGACTCATAACAACCCCATGTGACACAGTAGAACAGCCCCATAGGGTTTCCTAGGCTGTAATCTCTACGGGAGCAAATCACCAGGTCTTTCTCCCATGGAGCCACTGAGTGGGTTGGAACTACCAACCTTTCAGTTAACAGCCAAGCTCTTAACTGTGCACCACCAGGGCTCCTACAGTTATTAAAATACCAACACACGTTGGTCCTGGTAAGTAAACAGTTGTTGCCTGAGCCTTCTGAGTGCTTCCTAGCTACTGGGCCTCACCTGGGACCACCTCCTTCCAGAAACGCAGAAGTGAAGACCTAGCACCCCAGGGCCCGGCTCGCTCTGTGTTTGGCAGCCACTCCGAATGTCTACAATATATTTAATATCACCTTGATCACCTTAAACTTAAAGGTTCACATTCATAAATGTCTAAAGTTTATAAGGAGCTGAGATTTATGACGATCTGAAAATTGGAGACTTAGTAAACGGTAATCCTGAGGCTTGCCAAGTATAAAACAGAAAATCAGTTGGTTAAGGGTGAATGTGTGTTAAAAGATTACTCTAAGGATTATTTTTAATCTCTAAAAATGTTTCTGATTATCTGGACATTGTACAGAGAACTTAATAACTCTCGCAAGAAAATCAGGAATGCTTTTATTTGACATTAATGTATATCACAGAGGTCAACAAATATAGTATCAACCACAATGTAATTATTCAATACTTTTTTTTAAACCTGCAAATTAAAAAACATCCTTAAAAAGTATCTGGAAAACCATGTTTGCTTGTTTGTTTTCCCTGAAATATTAGTCCAAAAACAAAAAGGTGCATGCTTAAAAAACTGGGTCCATGTAAGTATTAGCCCAATGTATACTATTCATATATATTAGTATTCTACAGAACATATAGGCTTGCTTTTTTCCTCTTTGATAAGCCAGTAAGATAAGTTTTTGAAGAAAAGAACTATTTCAGGATAAGGAATAATACTTTTAGATGTAAGTAATGTATGTTTAATCACTTTGGATGGGGAAAGCTAAGGCAATAGGAATAGTCCTGAGCTAATCAAATCTCTCTTTATGTCTGTATACCTATCCTATTTAATCTACCAACATCCTACACCTGTTTCCCTTATTAGGAAATGCATGGCCATCTAATGGTAATTCATGCATTCATGTCTTCACTCCCATTGTCACCTGAGTTCAGTCCAATATGAATGAACAAACCTAAGTTCCTTCAAGAAACTGTATCATTATGGCCTTTGACAGACCACATTATATATGGACACTTCATTTTTCTTTGGGCCAACTTGTTGAAATCAAACAAACACACATAGGAAAATACCACTAGCTAAATTTTAGGAGGGGCAAAAAAACAAATTTAAATAAGTATGTCATATATTTCCTATTGCAGATTTTTTAAAAATGAGAGATTTTGGCACATGTGAACTGTTTGAAGCTATCTAGGTCCAACTTGCTACTTACTTTTTTTCACCTCCAAATCTCTCCATTCACAGCGCCCTTTCTCATCAACATTTCCTATTAGTCATCTTTGAACCAAAACAGAGGTTCCTTTTCGAGGGGACTCAAACACTTTGAGAATCTTTGGACACTTAATGAAGCTATGGACATTTTCATCTGAATAGTGCACATATAGACAGAAATTTGCCTCTAATTTGAAAGAGTTCTCAGATCACCTGGAATCCATAAAACGGGCCCTCCACTCCGTGACTGATCCTTCACCTGAATTATTTATCACAACCTGTTTTACATCAAGAAACTTGGTGTATTATTCTTTCCCTCGTATTTTCAATTTATCTTCTTTTTTTTTTTTTTTTTTTTTTACCATAAGAAGACTATTCCACTCAGACTTAAACAAGTAAAATCTGTCCCATCAAAAGAAGAAAAGAAAGAGGATTTAAAAAAAAAAGAAAGAAAGAAAGGAACTCTCTTTCCTCTCTGGGCCCCACAGTCCATCGATACCTCCCACCGGCTCCTCCATTCCCTGCTAGCTGGCTCCTCTGGATGTCAGAAGAGTGTTCATCCTAAAGGTACTAACAGTCACTTAATTGCCTAAAGTAAGAGGAGCATTTCTGGTTTGACCTTATTTTTCTTTGCTGTAATAATCAGCGCATTAATTACTCCTTGCTTTCTCCACTCTGCTGCTGTGACACCTTTTCTCTGATTCTCTGGTCAACTCTCTGGGCTTCTCCCTCTCAATCCCAGTTACCCCTATTCAGCTCATTCCTTAAAGGTATTTTCCAGACCTCTATCCTGCTAACTAAAAGGTCGGCAGTTCAAATCCACCAGCCACTCCTTGGAAATCCGATGGGGGCTGTTCTACTCTATCCTATAGGGTCACTATAGGGTCACTATGAGTAGGAATCAACTCGATGGCAATGGGTTTTATTCTATGTTTTTTTTTTACTCTCACTCTAGACCAGCATTGTGGTTGCCACTGGTACCCCCTGGAGAGCAATTATAATATAATGATGTCTGTGGTTCCATCCAAAACCAATTAGCTCAGAATTCCTGGGGCAGGCCCAGGCATCTGTATTTTTTTAAAAAAGTTGAAGTACAGTGCTCCAAATACTCTCTTTGGATAACTTTATTCATGATAACCACCTCAACAATAATCATTATATTTAAGAACTACAAATACATATTTTCAGATCTCTCCACTACACTAAAAATCCATACATCCAATCACTTTGAGACTTCTCCATCAACACCAAAATTGAGCACACTATTTTTCCTTTAAACCTTCTTTCTCCACCTATATTCTTCATCCATGGCAATTCCATCTAACAAGTCACCAGGCTAAAATCCTTAGACTAGTCCTAGAATTCCCTGTGCTCACATCCCCACATCCAGTCCAGTGCGATTCAGTTTCATAAATGTCTCTTATTTCTTCCGTTTACTCCAGCCCCAACTTCCCTTCTCTAGTTCAGGTCTTTACTAGGATTTACTTGCTCTTTTGCAATAGTTTCTTATTGTTGTTTTCCTTCAGTTACCTCCTCATCAGAATATCACCTTATTAATTCTCTACTTACATTATTTCAATGGTACACCAGTTTCTATAACAGAAAATCCAGACTCTCATGGATAGAATGGTTGGAATATCAGGTTCTCCTTTATTTAGGACTGTCCACCTCTTAAGCCTTCTCCTGCTCCTCTTCCCTCCATATACAGAAGCCCTACAATGCTACATGTGGTTCCCAATCACATCGTATCACTGAACATTTACACATGCTATTCTCTAAATATAGAGAATAATGAGTGACTTCAGTGACAATGGACATCCAAACTAATGTTTGGAAAACATGACTATACATTTCTCTCTGACATTATATGCTCTTTGTGCTTTTATATTACTAAAGAAATATATATAATATATGCCCACCAGCCGCTCCACAGCAGAAAGATGTGGCAGTCTACTCCAGTAAAGATAACAGCCTTTGAAACTCTATGGGGCAGTTTTAGTCTGTTCTACAGGGTTGTTATGAGTCATAATCGAATCAATGTCAATTTTTTTTGTATATATATATATACACACACACATTATTCTTATAATTATTAAACTAATAAAGTACTAGTTTCCAAAACAATGTTTCCCATTAGATAACATTATGCCAACTATACATCCATTCCCTTACTTCAGAACTCTAAATCAATTAATTCAATTCAAAATAAACTTTTAAAGTTGTTGATTTGTTTTTATTTCCCAGAATCTACTTGTTCATAATACATTATTAATAATTTCAATTATTAGCTTGATTTCACATTCTACAGTTACTTGATTCACTTGGAAATATTTACGCATATGATCTCCAAAACCAATGTCTGTAATGTCATAAGTATATTGTCCATCCAAGTTGGAAAGATGGCACAGGATTGGCCTGGTGTTCTCTCCAGCCCTCTCCCTCTCTCTCCTCACCTTCTATGATGTAGACACACTCCCGGTCTGGAGGGTACTTGCTGGGATAATTGGGAGAGGTGAAGACACCTCCATCTGCATGTTTTGTCCAAGTTCCACACTGCACTGACTTCTGTGTTTCCGAGGTGGCTTGCTTTTCTATAAAAAAAGAGAAAAAGAGCCATCATCCAATTTTCTATGCAACTAAAATAGAGAGGACATTCTTGTAATTTCCATTAGCAAATTAATTTCTAAACGTTGTCTTAGTCAAAACCAATCAAATATACACACTGTAAAATTTCCAGATAGTCTGGAAAAATAAGAATATGGGAAATACAGGAAAATACAGAATGAGTAAAGGACTTTCACTCCCACGTTACCGAAGAAACATACCTGTTCCTTTCTTGGTTGCCCCAGACAAATGAAGGATGATTAAACCTGCTACAACTGAAACAGAAAAGAAAAAGTAGAAAGAGAAAATGAGTGTACAGGGATGGAAGTGGTCAAGTTTAATAACAAAGTAAAGTAATTTAAAGACAAAATGATATCAAAGCAGAAAACTTTTATTACTGTTAACTGTTTCAAGTAGACTTGGAACTTGAAAGGCTGATTCAAAATGCACAAAACAGGGGTATTTAGGAATCCTTAAGGGAATAATGCAAATTGAGAATGAATGAAACTCAAACTCCTAAGGCAAATAGATACTTCAATACTGAGAAGCACCACTGGAATCTATTAATGCCACATACAGTGAGATTTCAGAACCCACAGTTTCTAAGCTCCCCTTTGTGACGTTTCTCAAGGAAGAGAGAGGGACAGTAGGTACAAGGAAGAAGAGGAAAAGCCAGCAATGAGAAGGGGCTCCACGACTGACTGGAACACATTGCCAAGGTGGTTGTATTTTAGAAAATAAATACTCAGGCAAATCCTCTGTAGGGAGGAGGGGAAAGGGGTCAAAAGATTAATTTGGATTGAAGGCATTAAGCATCATTATAAAAACGCACATTATAAAAATGTACTGAATTACCAAGTAAATACTGTCCTTGATACTAAACTATGAAATTAATGTCTTCCAACTTTAACTTTGACTTAATACTTAGTGTTGTCCAGAAATAGATTATCATTTTGAAAAAGGTCATTTCTATAAGCATTTTTGTATGAATTAGGTTTTTAGTATCAAAAAGAAGACACAAGTGTGCAATTAACAGTAAATCTGATACGACCATTGTAACCTGAACTTCTGTCTCATTTCCATGGATTCTTGATTTACTCAATGTTTTTACAAAACCTAAAATAAGAAAAGTATTAAGGTAATTTAGTCTTCATAATCTGACTTTTCCTCTTCTATTTTATTTTTGTCATTTATTTTGCTGCCCAATTACAGGAAAGCTCTAGGTTCTATAAGGTGTATAGTCATATTTACACTTAAAATGAAGGTTGGGGGGAGGCTATAACTCAAAATTGTTTCCTACACTAAAGCCCACTGCAGGAGTTTATAAACTTATGCTTAGATATTATGCCAAAAAAAGTATTTGGGCCTTGATGTTAGTAGTTGAGAAGATGTATCAATTATATTACTTTGAACTCTGATCCTGTATTGCTTAAAGTTGGAGGAAAAAATATAAAGTCTCTAGACCGGCGATCTGCTTTGCACTAAACTGCTGGTTGTTGCTGTTATGTATGTGCTTTTTAACAAATATATATATATACACGTAAACTTCGCATAAACCTATCCACATACAGACAAGCACACAGGTATGCAGCCTTCAACAGCAGGATGGATGTTTGGGGATCTCTCTACTCTGCTTTTTCTGTGTTGATGGAAGCACCTTACCAACGTGCACTATGATTAACACATCAGCAAAGCCGGGTCTCTTCACCGCATGGCACAGAAATAACTCTCTAACCTTGCTTTCTAATGTCAAATTCCCACCACCCATGTTGGTTTTCTTACTTATATCGCCTTTTCCTGGATGCTGTCTTCCTCTAGTTCTTTCAGCGCTCCACACTACACGTTACCACACACTCTTAAGGCAACATTCGATATCTACAGGCCAAAACAGAGTGGAGGTGGGCACTAGCCCTCCACGCCAGCGTGGGGACCAGCTGGATTTCAAGTACCCACTGGAGTGGCAATACGGGTCCTCCGAGATCAGAAGTCCTGGACGGAGGGATGTTTCTTCTCACCCCAAAGTACTGAACCCTGCTCTCTCCCTCTTTCCACCCGCTGCCTCCCTAGGGCCCAACTCCCAGTCTCCTACCGCACGTGCCATCCCTAAGCCCCACGCTTGGCTCACCCCCCAGTAGGTTCAGGCTCCAGAAAAGCCAATTGTCCCCGGCAGATCCCAGACCAGGCGACGGCCAAGGCGCGCCGCCCCCACGCCCCGCTTTAAGATGCTGCAATACAGAAAGTTTCCATCTGCCCGGACTCAAGGATTGCAGGGTCCGGAGTGTCTGCGGCCCAGAGAGGGGCGGGATGGAGGGAGGCGAGGGATGGAGCAGCGAGCGGACCGCGCGGCGGCCAGGTACTCACTGTGCAACACAGCGCGTCCATGGATCATGTCTGTGCGTTACACCCGAGGCTCCGAGCTCCACTAATTCCATTTAGAGACGAGGAGGCGTTCGGAGGCGGGGAGAGGATGGAGTGGCGAGAACGTCAATATGCCGCCCGGAGCCGACCTGGGGCACAGATGGGTGGAGAAGAGCTCCCAGCCCGCCAGGATCAGACCCAGGGCGCAGAGATATGGAGTGGGGCTCCGAGTCCCAGCTAGAGCAGACCCCGGGCGCGGGGAGGTGGTGAGGGGCTCCAAGCCCGGCAGTCAACCTGCTGCGCGTCCCCGACTCGCTCCCGCTCGCTCAGCGCGGCGAGGCCAGCAGCCCCACCATGACGCTAGCCGCACGTCCGGCGCCGGGCGCCACCATCACTCGGCTGCCAGCGGCACCTTCCTCGTCTGCATCATCGCCGCCGCCGCAGCTGTCACAGGGCACGGCGGGCAAGCGGGCGGCGGGCTGGCGGGCGCTGGGAGCCCCGGGGC